AGGATGAGGTCAAAGCGCAGCCCTGCTCCGCCGCCCCCATGCTCCCGTTGTGTGAGACCATGCAAGCCTCGCGAGTTGCTTTCCTCTCTCCAATGAGGGTGTGGGTCTATCAACAGGCGCGTGCAGACAGCATGCATTCCGCGGTGCGCCTTAAGCCACTTTAGGCTCATTGGGTCTTGCTAGGATCTTGAGCGAGATTTCAATAAGGACATGGCGTTGAGTCGCTCGCCTGGTTTGTTTTCGGCGTGTTGAGGACAAAGCATCCAGGCAACCTCCGACGGCATCGTGGTTGACGTCTGTAGTATGAACGATGAATTAAGAGTATGACTGTGAAAATGCTACGCGACGTATGCAAGGCTGACCACCCTTACCTTTTGACAGCGCGATTCGCGTTTAGACTTGCCTTGTGGGATGCGGTGTGCGGGCAGTGATGGCGTTTGGGGGCCAAATTTCCTTTGACAGCATAACAACTAGGTGGCACAGTTACCAAAACATTGGGTCTCGATGCTGGCTGTGGAGGCTGTGTTGCTCATGCGCTCCATCCCAAGCAATAGCATACCACCTATCAAGAGATTGCGATAGGAACATTGTGTATGTTATAGGCAACGCGATTTGGAAGACCGGCGTGTTTTCTGCGCGTCGTCGTTTTGCCAAGGAATCGTGGCGGTACATTCGGGGCAATTGGGCAATAACGCGAAGCAGAGGTCGCAAAATCGCGTGCGCATGTGTGCGAAAGTTCGCCATGATTGGAATGAGATGGAGGAGAGATGGAGTGTCGTTCAGCAGCGGTTGAGTTGAGATGAGGTTGGAGTTGTGTAGTGCAAGGCTAGAGGCTCAGGCAGCGTGGCGGCGAATTGCGGGGAAGGCGCGACCAGTACTGCAGCCGCCGACGTCTGTGGATAAGCAAACCTTGATACATCTGATCTTTGAACTCTGGCTTACGAGAACATGGGCTGATTAGTATACTCAACATTGTTGTTGAGTGAGCAAAAAGGCCCGGCCTGGCAAGAGGGCAATTGCCGAGAGAACGTGACCTGGCGATATGTGGCTCCGAGATCCTCGGCCCAGCCGTCGCGACTATTTTGCCCCACAAGTTAAGTTAAGAGCTGTCTCCGCCTCCGCATTCACTCGCCATCTCCCCTAAACATCGCCCTCTTCTCTCACAAACCTCAATTAATCGCCCCTCTCTACCTTCACAATGACCGACCGCCTCAAGTCCATCGTTTCGCACATGACGCCCTCGGCCAGCGGCATCTCGGCCCTGTAAGCTCCACCCGGACAGACATGACACGTGAAGAACGCGCGGCGGATGATAAGGGAAGAATGCAGCGCTGACAGCCATCGACAGTACCACCAAGAACCCCGACGATGTTGTCATCACCCTCGCCTTCCGCACACCCCTCACCAAGGCGCATAAGGGCGGCTTCAAGGACACGACCCTTGACGGCATCCTCGTCAAGACGCTCAAGCAAGTCGTCGCAAAGTCGAACCTCGATCCCGCCGTAGTAGAGGACATCTGCGTCGGCAACGTCTCAGATGCCAAGGCTGCCTACTATGTCCGCGCCGCCATGCTCGCCGCTGGCTTCCCCAACACCACATCCGGCTCGTCGCTGAACCGCTTCTGCTCGTCGGGACTCAAGGCCGTACAAGACATTGCCAACCAGATCGCCGTCGGCAGCATCGAGTGCGGTCTCGCCATGGGCGCTGAGAGCATGACAGCCGGCGGCGACAGGCTCGAGAGGCCGTTCGTCGACGAGGTGCTCGAGAACCAGGAGGCGAAGGACTGCATGCAGCCCATGGGCCAGACGTCGGAAAACGTCGGCAAGGACTTCAACATCTCGCGCGAGCGCCAGGACAAGTACGCTGCCGAGTCATACCGGAGGGCTGAGGTCGCACAGAAGGCGGGCTGGTTCGACGACGAGATTGCGCCCATCACCACCCAGATCAAGGACCCCAAGACAGGCGAGGTCAAGACCGTCACCCTGACCAAGGACGAGGGTATCCGCGCCGGCACCACATTCGAGAGCCTGCAGAAGGTCAAGCCTGCCTTCCTTCCCCACGGCGACCGGTCACACGCCGGAAACTCGTCGCAACTCACAGACGGTGCCGCTGCCATCCTCATGATGAAGCGCTCCATGGCCGAGAAGCTTGGCCAGCCCATCCTCGCCAAATACGTCGGTGCCACTGTCGCCGGTCTGCCACCCAGGATCATGGGTATTGGCCCATCCGTCGCCATCCCTAAGCTCCTCTCCAAGTTCAACATCACTCTCGAGGACGTTGACCTTATCGAGCTCAACGAGGCTTTCGCTTCCATGGCCGTATACTGTCTCGAGACACTCAAGATCGACCACCAGAAGCTCAACCCAAGGGGAGGTGCTATCGCGCTGGGTCACCCGCTTGGCTGCACCGGTGCGCGTCAAATTGTCACTGGTCTGAGCGAGTGCAGAAGGCAGAAGAAGAAGGTTCTGCTCACCAGTATGTGCATTGGTACTGGTATGGGTATGGCTGGTCTATTCATCAACGAGCAGAACGTGTAAGATATTTAGTATATAGCGTTGTGTATGAAGCCATTTTCAATCGTCTGCATCAATCTTCATTCACCTTCCCCGGCACATGCGTATTCAAATCCTTTCGTGACGTCCTGCCTGCATCACTCAGCCTAAGCCAGGTGCACCTACTCGATCGCTTACTGTTCGATCGTTTTGTTGGCTGGCACGAGACTTCCGAGCAAGAACACGGAACGTAGTTTCCTTCTTGGGAGGGCGATTTCGTGTAGTCAACACCTCATTTTTCCTGTTGAATTATAACCACAGGAACCGCGCATCCGCTTCAAAGGCCATCTCGATTTTGGTAAGCCCAGCATTACAGATTATCTTCCGGCAGGTCAACGCCATGCCGCAAGTCCCCAGAACCATGGTACGTCAGAAGCTGGGATTTTAAACCCTGCTTCATCAAGGAGTTCCCCTGCTTACCATCATTTTTAGGCCTACCTGCACCTCACAAAAGCTTCCGACGTATCACCTGCACATCATCTGCGCGCGCACAACACATCCCCTCCTCTAAACACATCCAACAAGATCTTGAGAGAAACTATCAAGACATGTCGGACAACAGCAAAGACACCGTAAAAAGCCCTAGTGCGACAGCGAGCGTTCCGAGACGCGCAATCCCCGAAACAATGTACGACCGCGTCAAGCACCTCCCCGAGTACAAGGCCTGGGTGGCTGGTGGTGGTTTGGCGCGATTCGCCAATGAACAAGATCTGGAAACAGATTTTGTAGATCACATATTCCGCACCAGCCCCCAGGTCCAGATTGCGTACGATAGAATCCTCCGAACGATGCCCAGCCTATTGCAGGAGATGACCCGGGATATGAGGCCAGAGCCGACGACCTACAGCCAGGCAACCGCACTCCAAGCAATGAACGAGTACGAACAAGGTAGCAGTTCGGCTGCAACCTCGGAGGACGATGATGACAGCGGCGAGAAGACGAGCAACCCCGAGAACACAAGCGAAAAGGGACCCACAAGCAAGCAAACTAGCGACGTTGTGAGTCGCAGGGCTCGGCAGTTCTAGATACTTCTTGATACCAAGACTAATACCGGGTATTTCACAGGATGACCACAAGGACTGGAGTTGGAGCGCTGTCACAACAGAAAACCGTCCCACTCTCTCACCTTTCAGATGCAGGAGAGCGCGCAACCTTCAATGGAGCAGCCCGACAAAGAGGGGTCCCGCCTCGGCGGAGGGTAGCCTCGCGAAGAGACTGACGCGAGAATGATCGCTACGAGCGACATTGTGAGTCGCAAGACTAGGCAGCCCTAAATACATCTTGATACCGACCTTGGAAGACTCAGAAACGATGTACGGCCGAGTTCAACACCTTCCCGAATACAAGACCTGGGTGGCTAGTGGAAGCCTGGAACAATTCGCAGAAGAACATGTGTCTTCATGACCGTTACAATCCTCATGTTCGGCAGTCGTTCAATGACGTAACGGTTACCACTGCATAAACCACAGCGACATAGCTAGGTATACAGCAACCCTACAATTACCACACTCGAGCCATCCCAAGAATTCCGTCAACAGATCCCAACCATCCAATCCACCGCCAATATGCCACACCCAAGCCTCGAATACACCACCGTCCAACCCCCCTCATCCACCTACCCCCAAAACGCCACCCGCAACAACACCTCCGGCACCGATGCCTCCGTCCTCGACCGCCTCAAGATCCGCGAAATCTGCGAAGGATGGGGCATGTACCGCGACGCCGCCGAGTGGCAAAACTACTCTTCCATGTTCCACCCCGGCGCCTACATAACCACATCATGGACGCAAGGCCGGCTCGACGACTTCATCGCATCCTCAAAAGAAGGGTTTGAGAAACAGACGCCTCATGGCCCGTTCCCGTATATTCTGCATCGCATCTGCGGCCAGACAGTCGATGTACAAGGCGACCGGGCGCTAAGTAAGATGAAAGTTACGATTACATGTCGCATCACGCTTGATGGCATCGAAATGGACAATGAAGCCGATACCCGCTTCTTCTTCTTCCTGTCTAAGAACGAAGCTGGGAAATGGGGTGTCAATTTCATGACGTTGCTGTTCGATGAGGATAAGATGGTTCCCGTTGTGCCGGGCAAGGCGTTCAATGTACCCGAGGAAGAGGTCGGGGAGTATCCGAGTGGGTATCGGTATCTGGCTTGGGCGGAGAGTAAGGCGGGGAGGCCGCCAAAGATGGATTTGAATGCGCATGGGCCGGAGAGGGATGTGTTGTATGGGAAGTGTAAGGTTTGGTTGGAGGGTGGGGATGTTAGGCCGAATCTTACGGGGGAGGATTTGGGGGAGTGGTAGATTGTGGTGAGGGGATGGTGAGGGGATGGTGTGTGAGGGGATGGTCACGAAGTAGTTCATGATCTTGTGGAAAGTCAAATGGATACACTAGAGACATGTAATACATGCCTAGTCATACTTGATGGGCAAAAACAATAGCCATTAACTCCCATGAGAGTCGAACTCATAACCTTCACGGTTCAAGTCGTGATCGCCATCCTCAGTCGTGGAGTTTGACCCCCACGAGCATCCGAGAGAAAGCGGCGCTTGAATAGAAGCGTGATGCGCTACCGTTGCGCCAGAGAGTCATCCTTTCATTTATGAGATACTCCAGATTCTTATGAGCTTTGTATCAGGCTCCTTCCGTCCAAGTCAAACAAGCTCAGCCATCTGCAACGCTGTGGCCTCTACGCAGCGTCTTCAACCTTCACACCCTTCTGCTTCTTCTCTACCGGCTCCTCCTTTACCACTACCTCCTCCTGGCCAACCGCCTCTTGCGGCGTTGCATCTCGCTTTCTCTTCCTGGGCTTACGCTTAGCCTTGGGCTTAGGTGTCGGTGTATCAGGTGTTTGCAGTCTATCATTCGGAGCAGCTACAGTCCTTGGGTGTGGCACCTCAGGAATGATGTTGTAATGTTGGAACATTGGTGTCGTAGGCATGAGTCGCCGTGTTAGTTTGTCGTGGTACACCGCACCTGCTTCCCCGAAGATGGGACTGTCGAAGTTATTGGTTTCTATAGCTTCGAAGATCTCATCAATATCTTCCTGGGGCCGGGGGACTATTTGAATTGGCGGTTGATTGACGGGCGTGGCCGTGGGTGTTGGACATTGAGGTGGAGTGTCTGGCGTTGGATGATGAGCTTGGGGCGATTCCTGGGGACGTTGATCACTTGTTGCTGATGCGACCTCTGGGGAGGCTTGGCTGGCTGGCATTCGCTCCGTAGGTGCCTGCGGTGGAAACAACTGATCGTACAGTGGAGGCGGGGAAGGCATACTCAGTGTGATCGTAGGTAGATTTGATAGAACACTAGTTGCACTTGCATCTTCCCTACTCTCCATGCGAGTTTGACTGTCTGCAGCTTCTGCATGCATCTGTGCGTCTGTCTGAGTATCACGGATCTGAGGCGAAGAGTGAACAGCTTCGGAGACATGTTGCGAAGTCGCTACAGCTTCTTCTAGTGATGGCCTGTCGGATTCGCGGGCGGTTTCCATTGGGTGTAAATACCTTCTACTCTTGAAGTTGTAGAGTTATGGTTTAGGTAAGTGGAGCCCGTTGGCAAGCCAATATTTGAACAGGACCTCGGGAAGGGAATGCGTTCACTAAGCCGGTAGCTGGGATCTAGACGAGCCTCGAGCATTCACCAGGGTCAATGGTGACTCAGCGGCCGATAAAGAAAGTACTATTCACTTCCGCGTGAGTTGAAAGCGCTTTGCACGGGTCTTGTTTGTGCGTCTGGAAGGTAGTAGGCACATCAAGTGGCCAGAAGAATCTGCCCCATCTGCCCCATCTGGAAAGAACGGTGAATACGAATAGTGCCATCCCGGCCGACGACGATTCCACATTATCAGATACAATTGATCTATACGCACGTCATAAACTGAAAATGTTCGTTCGAAGGCGAAGTTGATGCATGCTGACATGAGGTCGATGGGCGGGAAAAATGCTGCGTCGCGGTGGTGCGAGCTTTGCGCCATCACGGACCAGCCGAGCCGAAGACTTCCCTACACCACGGGATGCCATGCGACAACTTCAGTACTTTCGCAAGGAACTGTGCTGCCCGAAAATGGAGATGACGGAAGATTGTGTTAAGTTCTGAGATGGATTGGGATGGAACAATGTTGAGGTACGTGAATGGCGATCGATGATGCGGCTAGATTTTGACCGACCAATCAGCAGCGACTTGCTTCAAGTCGAGCACATCGACGACTTTGAGGGTCCTTTCTTCTATCGCGTCTTCAGTGAGCACAGTGCAACATCTTACCAACCAAGATCCTCATTCGGCCCATGTCTGTTCCAGTCCAGATGTGACTTTTCGTATGCTCATCTGAGTCTGGATTGCATTGAAGAACACCTTCGTCTTCGCGACTCACAAGCTAGTCCTTTCATAACGGTCTTCAGCGACTTCGGTAATTCTTGTCGTATTACCGTATGACTTGCGTACTGACTGATAACAGCTGCAGCGTTACGTGAAGCGTTTGACCTCTATGTCCGAGGTCATGAAGCTATCCAGGTAGTTCAGATCCAGGCTTCAGGCCTGGTGACCGATCTCGTAAGCCCAGCCGGCAATCACAGTGCTCTGATACCTTCATGGCAAGGCACAAAAGGTCGGATAGACCGGTGGCTATGCATAGCTGATCTTGGACCAACCCTCGGTGTCGACCCCGTATACATTCGCCCTTCAGAATGGCTGGCGTGCGGTTCAATATCCAAAGCTCGGTTCTCAGCGGCCTGGCCGATCATTGGAGGACGACTGCAGTTCAACGAAGGAAGGAGCGAAGACCTGGTCGACTTGTTTGCGCATATATGCGGGCATGTGCCAGAACATTTCCCAGAGCATGATGTGTCCGAGCGATACGAATACGACTGGGAAGGCGAATGCTTTGTTAGAGCTGAACGTTGGGGCGATGCGAGCGCGTCGATCCAAGAAACGAGCGTGGCGGGCGCGGGACTGGGGCTAGGAATTGCAGTTTCACAATTTGCGCGACCGACGCCATTCGGGTATGCCGGCTATCTGCGTGGGATGGTTGTGATGGACTGATGTACCATGTATTTTGTAAACGTATTGTACGATTAGATGAGGTGCCCAGGTGGCCTTGAAAGGATATCTGCAGGTGCAAGGCAGCAGTGGTACTAGGCTCAGATAGGACAAGCGGGCTACGTCTTTCCGTCGTGACATCTGGACGCATGTCAGCAGCCCCTCTTCTCTACGACAACATTATCGAAGTACGGTCAATCGTTGCACACCGAAACTTTCGCGCCCAAGAGATCTCTCTGATAAAATGGACGCTGTGTAAGTAGCCATGATACCTCTCGAAATCCGGTTCGAAACAGCACTAATATCAGCGTAGCACATTGCATAACCAGATTGAATCGCCTCTACTACGCTTGCCTGCAGAACTTCGCAATAGGATCTACGAATACGTCTTCCGTGTGGACTGCATCAATTTCTTTAGAATGGAAACTTGGAATTACAACTCGAGCAAAGACTCGGGGCCTGATTACAACCCCAATCCCGTGCGCGGGACAAAGCCAGCTTCACAATCCCTATCCTCGCTTCTCAAATCCCTACTAGTATGCCGCCAATACTATGCGGAGACCAGATTACTGGTATTCAAGCTGAGTCCTCTCTGTGGACGTCCCAGAGATCTACTTGACGCCGTGGAAAAAATGCCCAGGGACGTGCGAGACGCCATTCCAGTCCTTCGCATCTACGAAAACAGCAACTGGACGAGATTTTACCGACAGTTCTACCTCCCGACAGATCTTCCTAACCTGCAAAAAGCCGAAGTGCATTCTTGGGCTCCTAAGGTCGTGGGAGATCCGCTCTTGTTTGCCCATGAATGGAACAGACGTCATGTTCCAGAGGACAACGAGGTTTTGCGTTTGAGAGTTGAGAAGTTTTTCAGAGATCTCGATTCGAAGGAAACTGAGGATGCGCTCATTGAAGTTCTAAGATGGGTCCCCGGTTTGGTTGAGAAAAGACTTGAGATTACGTCGATCGATGCTCCGACTCCCTGTTACAAACACGTCATGGGGGATAGGTGGGAGGTTATCTAGGATTGGGCGATGTATGCGGGAACCTTGTAGTTCAGTACACAATACTTACTACTTCTCTGAATTGTTCGGATATCTTTTCGTCTAGGTCGTCGATGTTGCGGAAGTTGTGTGTGTAGTCCACCAGGGACTTCTACTATGATGCGGCACTTTGCGCATGTGTATAGTTTTAGAAAGATCGTAGCTGTTGTACCATTTCACTTGCTATGATATATGCACCTTCGACATACGCTTCAAGTTCACAGCTTCCGTAAGATTAGCACGCGCCCACCTCCAGCGTCCTTCCTATACTGATGCAAGTCCGTCTCCACAATTTCAACCTTCTCCTCCTTCTCCAGTCTCTGCACTTCCTTCTCAAACCCTTTCTCTACCCAGAAGCTATCTAGCACGGTTGCGACTACAACTCCACCATCCTTGACAATCCTTACGAACTCCTCCAGCGGCTCCGGTCCGAGATGGCCATGCGTGAAAGTACCACAGCATGTCAGCGCATCAAACTTCCCGTCCTCAAACCCCAATTTCTTCGTCAAATCCGCGGTCGTAAGGTCATCGTATACCGCGGTGTTCTTAGCAACAGCTAGCATGCCCTCGCTGATGTCGAGGCCCAGAATATCTGTAGCGCCAAGCTTGGAGAGTTCGATACCGACGAGGCCTGTACCGCATCCTGCGTCCGCGATCTTAAGGCCAGCGAGAGGCTTGTCGGGTGAGATGTGGTTTAGTTTCATGCCTCGGGCTACTGCTTGTGCGACGAGTCGTGGCGCGGTGAAGTCGTGTAGAGTCATGTCGGAGTCATATGTCTTCGCCCATTCGTCGTATAGTTCGCGCGACTCTTCGGTGGTTTTTGCGGCGAAGACGCGGTCTAGCAGCGTCTTCTCGTCTGACGTTGCCATATTGACGGTATGATGTGTGTCGCGCTTCTAAGGCTCTGTGAACGACAATGCTGTGATGCCTGTATGCAAAGAAGAAATGCCTGAGGATAATAGAGGTCGTTTTTTGTGATGAAGCGGTACCTGCCAAGGGAGTTAGAGGTCTACGGACAGTTGTCACGCGTGACGTCATCAATCGCGATAAGTGATTTCGCGACACCACCTGGACACTTGGGCAGTGCACAGATCTCATAAAACAACAAAATGACTTTCGGAAGAGTCGACGCAGATTCTTGACCTCAAATTGATGGTGCTATGTTCGCAAGACTTTATACAGCAGCAGCGCAAAGCTACGAGACTGCTATGCGCTAGGCCACGCGGAACCCAAGTGACCTCAGGAGCTACTAGCGACGTCTTAACGCGATAAATTTTCGCAAGTTATAGTACTATCTAGATGCTATGGCCAAGAAGTCTTAACATGCCCGGCAGCAGCTGCGTATGCCGCCACTCTGTTCCTAAGTTCTTCGGTCCTCTCCGGTTGTACCTCTCCTTCCATATTTACCACAAGAACGGTCTTCCAATCTGGAAATTTGCACAATGCTTCCAAATTGACATCGTGTCCGAATTCCTTGAGCTGCTTCAGCGAGCGATCATTGAACACCGACAAT